AAAAAAAAAAAAAGAAAAGAAAAGGAAGACAGTCCACCTAAGCCCTCACAGCAATATCTTTGGTTTGTATTTCGTGACAAGCGGGTAGAAAGTGGGGTTAAAAAAAAAAGGTGGTGGTGGAAATTAGCGTTTGACATCAGCATAAACTTGAAGCGAAAACAACAATGCGTTATTGCCAAAGTGGACAGCTACCGTCTTCCCCCAAAGACAACACGTCCTCATCATGACTGTATAGGGCCAGAAAGATAGCTTGTATACATTCATAATCAGCGTGCAGCTTGCATACATTGCATGGGTCCTGAAGACCAACTCACGCAAGAGTGTTCACAGCATGCGCCATCGCCATACACAAGAATGGAAAATTTCACACACTTGACAAAGAGGTAAGAAGAGAACCGAGTTACACAGCTTATATTATCAAAAATATGATTACAAAGAGTGTCACAGTTCCCTGAGTTCAGGCGCTCATCAGCACAATACAAATCTCTCATCCAACTCATCAATGTGGTTTCCACACATCAGCGCCACCTCTGCAGATCATATCCAACTCAGGTAAGTATTCACCCTAGCCGAATCTTGCTTGCACACTCTCTGTTTCAGTTCCTCCTTCCTACTACACATGCACACTCTCTTCCCTCAAGGATCTACTCTGAATGCTACTCATAGAAGACTACTACTAACTCTCTAAGTCTACTAACTCGCTGGGCAGCTATGGCTACTTCTCTTCCCAGCGCCCAGTCTTCCCTCATCTAGCGCATCTTCATCCTCCAGCGCTCCTCCTCCTGGCTGGCGCACAAGTGCTTCAGCACTTCCACGCACAGAATGCCAGTAGAGATCTGGCGTTGAATGAGGCTGGCTGCTTCCTTTATAGTGCTGGCCTCCTCACGCTGGGTCTGCATTGGCTCATTCAGGCCTTCCTTTTGTCCCAGACCCTGCATTGCATGTGTTCCAGTACTGTCCCAATGAGGTCTACTGCTGCTGAGGCCCTTCGGCCTGGATTCTGGACTTGGACGTCTGGATCTGGACGGTTTCTCAGACTTAAACCAGAACTGGGACTCTGTTTATTGACTTACTTTTGAACAGGCACAACTTTGGACGAACAGACACACTTACTGCCTGAACAGACATCTACATTGTGTGAATAGACACTCTCTTTCTGCACGAACAGACACACTGACTGCACGTACAGACACATCCCTATCTGAACAGACATGACATGTGCATCCCCTGGCGAACAGGTATGTCCTTCGGTAATGACCTTTAGCGCTGACTTCTTGCTTTAGTTTAGATGTGCCCTTTGACCAGAGAACTTGACCTTTGATCTGCTTTCACGTTTCCTGGTCCTGGCGAGATACCCCGTCACGCTGCTTTACCTTTACAAGGCCTGAATCGGGTAAAGGCCCTTTTAACATGGATGGTCAGTCCGTATTATGATCGGAGGAAGATAGCAGCTGCTGCTGCGATAGAAGGACACTTTCCTACAAGATTCTCCATTGCAAATGGGCACATGGAGAGTTCTCAGAACATTCCACGAGCATTCCTTTCTTCCTCATCATGTATACCAGCAGCCAATCAACAACCAACAAACAAGTTGAAACAACCACAAAGCAAAAGAACTTTGAAAAACAAAAAAAGAGGGAAACGGGCGGTCACCCGAACAGCTTTCTTTCCCCCCCTGGAAAAGCATACTGTACTGCCTCAAAGCAAGATCTTGCCCTTTTGTTTTCCTTCACCATCATGTCTATGGATGAGATTTCCTTTTTTTTTTTTTAAATCCTGGAGAGATATCACAGGGTCTGGTAAGAGAAGTACCCTGTGATATTCCCCTCTGACGACTCCATTCTATAGGTGGGGAGCTGCACCTGGATGATCTTGTACATTGACTTGCTTTCCAGTTTGCAGCATGTCAGGGGTGCGTTTTATACCCCTATGTCTACCGGTTGTCTGTTTGGGTCCAAACGGTAGTTCGGAGGGTGGTGAATTTGCTGGGGGCACAATTCATGGGGAACGGGCAGTTGTTGCTTGCGGAGGACCGGTAGCTGCCCGTAGGAGGCCGAGGAGGCCACGGTCCTTGAATTGAACATTTCGAAATCGAAAGGGCGTGGGTCCACTTTTCTCGAATAGAAGGGTGCTTCGAATAGAGCGTGTACGCCGCGTATTCGAATACAACACGTACCTTTTCTATTTGCATTCCGAAAAGAAAAGAAAAAACTTTT